ATTGCCACAAGCTTATGGGGACCGGGGAGTGAAATGTGGTAGTTTGAATGTAACTGGCCCCCATAAGCTCATAGGGAGTGGTACTATTAGGAGATATGGCTTTGTTGGAGTATGTATGGCCATGTTGGAGGAAGTGTGTCACTGTTGGGGTGGGCTTTGAGGTCTCATATATGTTCAATACAACCCAGTGAGACACACCACTTCCTGTTGCTTTCTGATCAAGATGTAGCCAGCAACATGTCTGCCTGCACACCACCATGCTCCCTGCACATCACAATACTCCCCACCATGATGATAATAGACTAAACCTCTGAAACTGTAAGCTGCCACCTCAATTACATATTTCTTTTATAAGAGTTGCCATGGTCATGGTATCTCTTCACAACAATCAATAGAAACCCTAACTAAGACAGCTGTAAAGAAAAATTAGATCATGAAATTTGCAGGTAAATGAATGGAACCAGGAAAAAAAAGATACAAAGTGAGGTCTCCTAGGCTCTGCATACCCTCTCTCATATGAGAGTCCTAGCTTCAAAAAAATTTTTTGGTTGAGACAGGGTTTTTTCTCTGTAGCCCTGGCTGTCCTGAAACTCACTCTGTAGACCAGGCTGGCCTCGAACTCAAGAGATCTGCCTCCCTCTACTTCCCAATGCTGGGATTAAAGGCATGCACCAGTACCACCTGGCCAAATTTTCTGTTTTGTTTGTTTAACAGGAAGCATACACAGAAGCTAGGAAACTAGAAATGAGCCATTTGGTTGAGGGGGACACACGGGGATGCAGTGAAATATACGTGACATTAGTAGTGAGGGGGAATACTAGCAACAAGAGTTCAAGCAGATAATGGAATGCCAGGGACGGGGAGTGAGGGGCCAAAGGAGATAACTAAAATAAAGTGTGCATGAAGAATCTGCTTGGAACCCTGTGATCTTGCATCCAAATAAAAATATATTATGTAACACAAGGTGGATAATAGAGCATATGTTATGAAAGAACAGAGGATAATCTGGAAGGTAAAGCTCCAAACAGTGGTGAGAACAGGAATGGAGAAAAGGATAAGGAGTAGGTTAGCCAGAGCTAAGAATACACAAAGAAGCCTTCTGAAACCCCACTGGTTTATAAACTAATTTTAAAAACATTTCTTAAAAGCAAGTTTGATGACCAAGGGTACCCCCACATAATGAGCAATGCTACTCCCAGAAGACAAGGGTTATTAAACAAAAATCTCAGTGCTGGACAGATACTGTACTGGTTAGTTTTTTGTCAACTTCACAAACTGGGGTCAAAGAACCTCAAAATTGAGAAAATGCTTCAGTCAGACTGGCCTATAGGCAAAAATCTGTGAGGCATTTTCTTGATTAATGATTGATATGAGAGATCCCAAGGCACTGCGGGTGGGATCATGCCTGGATAGGTGGTCTTGAGTTGTATAAAAAAAAAAATAAGCTGAGCAAGTCATGGAGAGCAAGCCAGTCAGCAGCACTCCTCCATACTTTCTACTTCAGCTCCTGCCTCCAGGTTCCCACTCAGCTTGAGTTCCTGCCTTGGCTTCCCTCAGTCCTGAACTGTGATCCAGGCATGTGAGCCAAATAAACTCTTCCTTCCCCAGCTGCTTTCAGTGTTTATCTCAGCCATAGAAAGCAAATAAGAAATCACCCAACAAGTTATTAGTCAAAGAAGCTCCAGAGGCACCCAGCTACTGTCACCGCTACAGCTCCGAATGGAACTAGATGTGAAGACCCTACTGCTGAAGATATCACACACTGGTTGCAGAACACAGAGAAATCCATGTTGAAATGACCAGGTAACTCTCCTTGACGGCTAGATTTCCTAGTGCGAGAAGGTACAATATAGGCTGCTGGGGGGAAAACGACCTGGAATAGGTCGTGAGTACTTAGAATGATCAGCTGGTACTTACTAGAATACAAAATTTGAGCAAAATTTCCAAGCTCCAAAACAGAAATAACAGCAAAACAAAACTTCAGGAAAGAATTTCCTTGGGAGTACAACTCCAAACTGACACAGATGAGAGGCTCCCATAGCAGCTATCTAAAAACTCCCCAGTCCCACCTCTGGAGAGACTCCAGATCCATGAAAGAGAATCATCTACCTTCTGCTTTGATTTTGCCAGGGCAAGGAACTTACTGGTTCACCAAACACGCTTATGATCTCAGTATTCAAAATCATTTAACCACTGAGAGCCCAATCTGCCTTCTTGCAGGTTGACTTCTTACATCAAAGCAACCCTAAAGAAACATACCAGACTTTTCCTAAGAGTTCTTCATATATATTTCTATGCTGCTTAATATTTGAACACACATTTGAATAGTTGAAAGGATTCAAACATATTAAATGTGCAGCTTCAAGCAATGATTAAAGGAAAATAAATGAAAACTCTGTCCTGAGACTAACATATACAGAGTGTGATCCTAGAGAAGGCAAGAAATTCAGTTAAGAGTCAGTGAGACAGTTCAACAAGTAAAGTACTTGCCACACAAAGCTGGTGACCTGAGTTTGAAACCCTGAAGCCACACAGAGGTGATAGAATACTAACTCCCCAAAGTTTTCTTTTGACCTCTGCAAACATGCTCCCACAAATAGTAATGAATAGGCTTTTTTAAAAGGAAAAAAGAAATCTTGGTTAAGAAGTACTTCTTAAGCTAAACATTATGGTGATATTTTATTTGTGCTGAAATGTGATTAAAAGTAGATTCAGCCGGGCGGTGGTGGCGCATGCCTTTAATCCCAGCACTCGGGAGGCAGAGGCAGGCAGATCTCTGTGAGTTCGAGGCCAGCCTGGTCTACAGAGCGAGATCCAGGAAAGGCGCAAAGCTACACGGAGAAACCCTGTCTCGAAAAACCAAAAAAGAAAAAAAAAAAAGTAGATTCAATAATCTACCTTTTTATCTATATCATATCTATATCCTCTCTTTACTTTTCAGAGTAGATTCACTAACCTACCCTCTATTCTATCATTTCTATTTCCTGTATTTCCATATCAAACATAAAGGAACATGGCTGTAATTCCAGCTGCTAGGAAGGCTGAAGCAGAAGCATCCCAGGTTTGAGGACTAACTAGACTACATAAAAGTCCATGACCAGCCTGGGCACCCATGTGGGACCCTATCTCAATACAGAAATAGAATAGGGAGTCAGGGGTGATAGCACAAACCTTTAATCCTAGCAAGTGGGAGGCACAGACAGGCAGATTTCTGTAAATTTGAGGCCAGCCTGGTCTATACTGTAAGTTCTAAGCCAGCCAAGGATACATAGAATATACCCTACCAAAATAAATAAACACACACACACACACACACACACATACATACACACACACAAACACACACACAAAGAATAAAGCTACCAATGACAGTTTGACTCTTATTTTGGAGACAATAGTTTGAAATATCTACCACCGAGGAATTTTTTGAAACACTAAAATCTTCCATGTTTTTACAGTATTTCATAGACTCTTTAAAATTAAAGACTTTTGAACTAGGAAAGGTTGAAATCATCAGGAGTCAGATGCTGATGCCACTTGTGAACTATGAGTCCTTACCTCATTAAGACTCTCTTTTCATGTCTGAAAAACTGGTATTAAAAGGTAGAGGAAAGGCCGGGCGGTGGTGGCGCACGCCTTTAATCCCAGCACTTGGGAGGCAGAGCCAGGCGGATCTCTGTGAGTTCGAGGCCAGCCTGGACTACCAAGTGAGTTCCAGGAAAGGCGCAAAGCTACACAGAGAAACCCTGTCTCGAAAAACCAAAAAAAAAAAAAAAAAAAAAAAAAAAGGTAGAGGAAAGCCAGGCAGTGGTAGCACATGCCTTTAATGTCTGCACTTGGGAGGCAGAGACAGGTAGCTTTCTGAGTTCGAGGCCAACCTGGTCTACAGAAAGTGAGTTTCAGGACAGACAGGTATACACAGAGAAACCCAGTCTCAAACAGCACCCCCCCCAAAAAAAAAATAAGGTAGAGAAGTGTGGTGGTTTGAATAGGAATGGCCCCCATAGACTCATGTGTTTGAATATTTGGCCCATAGGGAGTGGTACAGCCTCTCCTGCTGCCTGCAGATCAAGATGTGGAACTCTCAGCTCCTTCTCCAGCACTATGTCTGCCTGCATGCTGCCATGCTTCTCGCCATAATAATGGACTAAAGCTCTGAAAACGTAAGCCAACCCCAATTAAATGCTTCCTTTATAAGAGTTGCCTTGGTCATGGTGTCTCTCCACATCAAAAAAACCCTAACTAAGACAAGAAGAAAGCTCAGTCAGTAATGTACATGCCATACAAACATGAAGACCTGAGTTGAGATCTGTAACTCCAGCTCTTGGGGAATAGACAGAGGTGGATCTCTGGAGCTCACTGACCAAACCAGTCTAGCTGAATTGGAGAGCTCCAGGTTCAGTGGGAGATTCAGCCTCAAACAGTAATAATAATGAGAATAATATGGAGAGCAACTGAGGAAGACACTTCCAAATGCACACGCACAGGTGCACACACACAAACATATGTATACTCATATCACACACATAGAAAATAAACAGGATAAATAAAAGGTAGCTACCTCATAGGGTGTTAGATTAGTTAAATTATTTGGTGGCTATGTACATGGTGAACGAAAATACACATTTCCCACTAGCTGTAATTACTACTACTACTATTTCTGCAGTTCAAAGAAATCCTAAGCATTATCTCCCCATGTGGCTTATAAATTAAGGTAGTTAAGACATAGCTATGTTAATTTTAAAAAGACAAGAGCATTGATATGTCTACTTTCTAGTATATAAATATGTTTCTGGAACTGCTTAGAACACTTCATAGCAAGACAGCATCCCCATATTTGCCTACAAGGGCATCTGCATATGTCTTACGAAGACCTTTTCTCTCCTGTCTTCCACAGACATTAATAGCAGCTTTATATTAGTATATAAAGTACCACATATTCAAATTCAGCAATCATAAAACCTGCACACAAACTTAGAATTTTACATTAAGATACTTACAAATTCAGTTTTGTTAAGCTTTCTTGTGCATTATGTTTTTCTCGTTCATATGCACTTTCAACTTCTTTAAATTCATTCTTAATCATTTCCAGATCAGCAACAGCCTCTGCTTGGCTGGCTTTTTCTACTTGTAAAGCTCCTTCAAGGTCTCGAATCCGTAACTACCAGATGACAGAGAAGTAATTTTAAAAAGCTAAGAAATGTGTATCCATCTTAAATTGAATAGACTGTTTTATCAACAACAGATTATCATTTATCTAAATATTTCTTTCTTTCTGTTTTGGTTTAAAAAGAAAATAAGCAAGCTGGTCTCAAACCCCAGATCCTCCTGCCTCTGCCTCATTCTGCAAATCCTACCAACCTGTGCCAACATACATACAAGAAACATTATATGGACTCAGTAGGTCATACACAGGAATACACCCCTGGAGTTTTTTTTACTGTAGAAGCTTTATAGTCAAACAACATTATCTGACTGAAATATTCACCCTCAGAAGGTGGGACCATGCGGTAGGCCCTTGCATGGACAAGAATGCGGCCTCAAAGTAGACTGTGGGACCCTGCTTCATCCTCTCTCTTGCTTTGCTTCCTGGCTCATGAAGTGAGAGGTGAGTGTACTTCCACCAGACAACCAAAGAAATGGGGCCACTCAATCATGAACTTAAGAAGCATGAGGCAAATAAAACCTTATTTCTTTAGAGTTAAGGTTCTTAGGTTAGGTTGTCTCAAGTATTCCAATAGAGTCACAGAAAGCCAACTAGTAGTGACACAAGCCATTGGGTCTCTGTCACAAATACTACAAATGCACCCACAGATGAGACAAGACTTAAGAGCAGACAGTGGTGATATTCTGGTCTGAGGCTACAGAGTACCAACATCTCCCCTAATAGAGCACCTGAAATTGTAGCCTTACCCTAAATACAATGAGTGTCATAGCATTGTGTCATCATTCTCAACACGCACCTTAGTTTCCTAGCAGTTACAACCTGAGAAATTCATGCCAAAAAATGCATTTGCATCTTACCTGAATAATTTCAGAATTAAATTTTGATTCCAAATGTGCTGCTCTTTCTGCTTCAATGTTCTCTTCTAACTTCCTCACTCTTAGAGTAGTTGCCTAAAAACAAGTCAAGTTTAAACACATAAACATTGGCATTAAAAGTACACAGAAAACACTAATCATGGAATTGTGACTTTAGATGACTTCCGCTGTGCAGCCAGGATGGCTTAGAACCCATGATCATGTTGCCTCAGCATCCCAAGTCCTATTACAGGTATATCCCACCGTACCTGTCTAGTCCCATTCTCATACTTTGCAGGTGGGGACTGTGAAAACAATGCCCAAAAAGAATGTTCCAAAGCCTTGTTTTTCTTTTTTAATCTTATTGAGGTACAGTTTACATGTAATTAATTAGGAAGTAACAGACTTCTGGCAGACATGTCCATGGCAGCTGTTAAATAGTACAGAGTACAGACTTACATGTCCCCTATGTTCCATGGTCCTTCCTAGACACACTCTTGGTGCTCTCATACCAAGAAGTCATTCTGCTTAGGGATTTCATCATTCTGCGTTTCACAAGCACACAACTCACAAGGCACTTTTATACACTGTACTACTTGATTTATTTAGATTTTACAACCTTATCAGTATTTTTTTTCTTGACACAGTCTCACAGTGTAGCCACAGCTGGACTGGAACTCACAGCTATGTGTCTGCCCCAGCCTCCCAAGTGCTGAGATTAAATGCATGTCTAGCATGCCCAGTCCTTTCAATATTTATTAAGGTTTATTTTTATTACTTTAAATTGTGTGTAGGAGGGGATATAGGTGCATGTGAATGCAGTGCCTGTGGTGGACAAAGGTCCTGGATCCCCTTAGAGCTTGAGTTATAGGCAACTGTGAGTCGCCCAACATTGGTGCGAGGAGTCAAACTTAGGTCTTCTACAAGGGCAGTAAATGTTCTTAACTGCTGAGCCACCTCTCTAACCCCCATCAACATTTCTTAACAATTTATTACCTTAGGAAATAGTTCCCAGAGGCTGACAGCAGGAATTCCAAATTTGAAAACTAAAGGTGATTGAAATCCAAAAAGACAAAATAATACTTTGTATAACTGTGGTAGTTTGAATGAAATTGGCCTCATAGGCTCACAAGCAGTGGCAATATTGGGAGATGTGACCTCACTGGAGTTAAGTGTGGCTCTGTTGGAGGAAGTGTGTCACTGAGGGTGGGCTTTGAGGTCTCAGATGCACAAGCCTGGCCAGTGTGTCTCAGTCTCTTCCTGCTGCCTGTGGATCAAGATGTAGAACTCTCAGCTCCTTCTCCAGCACTATGTCTGCCTGCATGTCACCATCCTTCCTATCATGACAAAAATGGACTAAACCTTTTAATTGTAAGCCAGCACCAATTAAATGTTTTCCTTTATAAGAGTTGCCATGGTCGTGTTATCTCTTCACAGCAATAGAAACCCTAACTAAGGCAATAACAATCTCTTCTCTTTTAAATGGTTCTTGAAACAGGGTTTCTCTTTGTAGCCTTGGCTGTCCTGGAACTCACTCTGTAGACCAGATTGGCCTCAAATTCACAGAGATCTGCTTGTCTGTGCTTCTCAAGTACTGGGATTAAATGCGTGCACCACCTCCACCGACCTGACATTTTTGTTTTGTTTTGGTTTGGTTTTTTTTTTTTTTTTTTTTTGGTTTTTTGAGACAGGGTTTCTCTGTGTAGTTTTTGGTGCCTGTCCTGGATCGGGCTCTGTAGACCAGGCTGGCCTCAAACTCACAGAGATCTGCCTGGCTCTGCCTCCCAAGTGCTGAGATTAAAGATGTGTGCCACTTGGCCGGGTGGTGGTGGCGGCGGCGGCGGCGGCGGCGGCGGCGGCGGCGGCACACGCCTTTAATCCCAGCACTCGGGAGGCAGAGGCAGGCGGATCTCTGTGAGTTCGAGGCCAGCCTGGGCTACCAAGTGAGTCCCAGGAAAGGCGCAAAGCTACACAGAGAAACCCTGTCTCGAAAAACCAAAAAAAAAAAAAAAAAAAAAAAGGTGTGCCACCACCACCCAGATAACATAGTCTTCTTAAAGATAAAATTTTGACATTTATATCCTCTACTACTATATTATTTTGAAAAACAAGTATTCCACTCAAAAATGAAACTAGTAAATATTAACAGTCTACTTTGAAGATTCAAACAAAACTCTTAAAAATAGGAAATGATGAAATTTGAATACTTGATAATACTAAAGAATAATTATATTTTTAAGACTTACTTTCTATGTATGAATGTTTTACCTGCATGTCTGTAAGTGCATCAAGTATTACCTGGTGCCCTCAGAGGTCAGAAGAGGGCAGTGGGTCCCGTGGAACTGGAGATACAGATGGTTATGATCCACCATGTGGGTCCTAGGAATTGAACCCAGGTACTCTAGAAGCATTTAGTTGGGGACTTGCTTCCAGATTCAGAGTGTTAGTCCATGATCATCATGGCAGGGAGCATGGCAGCAGGGAGACACGCGTGGCACTGGAACAGTAGCTAAGAACTTACTTCTGATCCACAAGATAGAGAGACTGGGCCTGGCATGTGCTTTTGAAACCTCAAAGCCCACCCCCAGTGACACACCTTCTCCAATAAGGCCTTACCTCCTAATCTTTCCTAAACAGTCTACCAACTAGGAACCAAAGATTCAAATATGTGAGCCTGCTGGAGCCATTCTTTTTTTTTTAACAATTTTATTTATTAATTATGTATACAGTGCTCTGTCTGCGTGTATCCCTGCAGGCCAGAAGAGGGCACCAGATCTCATTACAGATGGTTGTGAGCCACCATGTGGTTGCTGGGAATTGAACTCAGGATCTTTGGAAGAGCAGCCAGTGCTCTTAACCTCTGAGCCATCTCTCCAGCCCAGAGCCATTCTTAATCAAACACATGCACAGACACACACACACACACAGGGGCACACGTGCACACACACCGGGGCACACGTGCACACACACCTAAACAGAACTAAAATAATGAAAAGACATAACAATGACACAACTTCTGTTTCCCATTGCTAAAAAATAGTTCCTTTTAACTTTTGACTTTACATTCTCAGAACAGCGGACTCCAGAAGTTATGGGTATAAATCACGGTGCATAGTACAGCACAGAAATTCTTATGCATAGCACAGACTATAATAAACAATAACCTAGGAAGATCTATACTAATAAAAAATTTATGTAGAGGCTCAGCAGTTAAGAGCACTGGCTGCTTTTCTAGAGGTCCTGAGTTCAATTCCCAGTACCCACATGGCAGCTCATAACCATCTAGATAAGTAGTCCCATGTGATCTGATTTCCTCTTCTGACTTGCAAATGACATGCAGACAAAATATACAATACATTAAATACATAAATAAATCTTCAAAATTATGTAAACCCTACAAGACAAAGTCGATTGTCAGTACATAATATGTTCATTTTAGATTTTGTGGATCAGAAAGCTAGCCAGTCACAAGGAAATAGTCCATGGGCATTAGGAAGAAGATTTTAAAAACTAATAAAGGACAAAGAAATTAAATCAGTCTAACAGTGTCTAAGTATTTTTCTCAATTGCCAGAACACATATAAGTAAGCTTATTTATCTAAATGTTGGTCTTGTATTTTTTTTTCAAGAGGGGGGTGCTTACATATACATATACATATAAATATATGTACACACATGTGTGAGGAGACCAGAACCACCTTGGTGCTAATTCTCAAGCACCATCCATGGTTTTTGGTTTGGTTTGGGTTTGGGTTTTTGGAAGGAGGTTGGAGACAGGGCCTTCTATGAGCTTGGAACTCACCAAGAAAGCTAACCTGCATACCCAGGGAGCGCCAGGGACCTGACTGTTCCCTTTCCCAGGGCTGGGATCAAGTGCAAGGTAAGTACTTTTACCAACTGAGCCCTTTCCTCGGTCTTAAATTTTATTAAAATATAGAATATTCCATAATTCTGATAAAAGAATCAACAAAATATTTTTATTTCTTATATGTATAATTCAGTAACTAGTGAATGACCTGTTCCCACTCAAAACATCAGGACGAAGTTCTAGTTTCCAGGGCAGAACAAATGACATGGGTTAAAGTAATAAGCTGGAGATACACCTTTGTTTTCACACCTTCCTTTTTGGAATGAAACTCAAAAAAACCAATTAACATGCTGTTTATTATTGCTACAGCTATCAACAAATCAGCAAGGCAATAAAAATCATCAAGTCTTTCAACAAACACATCCCAAGAGTGAGATTTTTTTGATAGGCATAATAAAACAAATGCCCTCCCTCATAACTTTTTAAATCTTCTGCTCTGGTGAATTAACTCTTAAATCCAGCAGAGGGTGCTACAGTAACATCAACCTGCAATTCTCTCACACATTTACACACACACACACACACACACACACACACACACACACACATACATTCACACACACAAACTCACACATATCCTGTAATACAAAGAATGATAGTACAAGTCATTAAATGTGTCATTGATATTTTATTCTAACATAATCACAAAATTACTGGCAGAAAGTGTAACATAATTGTGATTAAAGTTTAAATTCAATCCAAATTCTTAAACTGAGCCATATACAAGTTAGTTATCAATATATAACTTGGCCAGTAATAAAATATTATCATATACTGTATGTTTGCCAACACTGAAAACAACAGGCTTCTACATATCACATTGAACCAAACATATGATTCTTTTTCAGTGTTCGTACATTTACTTATCGGGGTAGCATGTACACGCAGAGGTCAGAAGACAAGTAGCAGGAATCGGTTCTCTCTTCCCCCATATGGACTCTGGGAACCAGGCTGAGTAGTAGATGCCTTTACTTGCTGAACCATCTTGCCAGCCCAAGTATGGAGTTCTTGTATAATACATATCCTGCTATTATTTGATGATTGATGTCCTTTATGACAATAATCTTACTGAGAGATTTTGTTTGGTAAGTACTATGGATAAATATAGTTCTTTTTATCTGTTTTGTATCTCACTAAATCTTATTAAACACTATCAGATAATTACCCTTAAGAAAGTGAGTTTTCAATCTTCAAATAAAACAATGTCTAGAAGGCTGCTGCCTACCCA